CCTGTACATACTGAGTCATTGAGTGCGTAGTTATGTCTTCGCCTGATACAAAAATGTTTGCCGGAAGGGCTGAAGTGCGGAGCAGAATGTTTAACTTTTTGTGCGTGGAGGAAGCACTGTAGTTACCCCTTGGGTGGCGCCTGCAGTATCACCGTTTTGATAGTAGTGCAGGGGGACAGTCTACGCTCAATTATGAGCGGTTATATCTTGAAAATCTGCAGCCAAGTTCCTTCAGTACCCTACCTACTACTGTTTGATTGCTCCAGTATTATTCTAAAAGAATGACAATATTATTATTTTTATTATTATTATTATTATTAAATGCGCTAGTCTTACCTTGATGTCTGCGTATCCCATATACGTCTGTACGCCGGTGCCTCATCGATTTATATGTTATATGATTGCACCAGTTGGAGGAGGGTACAGATTCAAAATATATATAAAGACAAAATAGGCATGCAGCCTGGCGCCTCTATGCTGGGAACATTGCTGCAAGTAAACGTATGAAGATAAATTCGCCCTGCACCATGCAGCAGCCCGTCATCGTTATACGTATTTAATCGAATGCCACCTTTTGGTGGATCCCCACATCACTGTGCAGCTACGCTGATCTTCTAAAGTGTTTATTCTCTGGAAGAGGTTAAGAGGCAATAAGCAGCAAATAACAAAGAAGTAGCAAAGGAGGAGACCTTTAACTCCCCTCCTCGCCTAAGGCCGTGAAACAGGAAGAGCGACCTTGATAACATATTTCTGAAGCAAATAATTGCTTAGGGTTTAGGGTTAGGGCTTAGGGTTTAGGGTTTGGGGTTTTAGGGGGAGTCTGTGTTCATCGGAGGCTATGACGCTAGGCTAAAAAAGCTGCAGCGTAGGCGGGGCCACAGCGGCATGCATACCCCAGAATGTAAGTATGAGTATTCCATGTACTCCGCAGGCTAAGGAGATATTGTGGGTAGAATGGCATTTGCAGCAGCAGCAGCAGCAGCAGCAGCAAATGCAGCAGTGCCAGCAGTGGCTGCAGCAGCAGCAGCAGTAGCAGGTAGCAGCAGCAGCAGCAACAGCAGAATTAGCAGCCTCTTTTACAGACCTTTCATAAGAAGGTTGGAGTCAGTGCCCTCTCCCCCCAGCTGGCTGCTCAGCGGGGGCCCCTCTCCTCTTAATGGGGGCCCCCAGCTGCTGCTATCTTTTAGCTGTGCAGCTCGTAAGGGGTTTAGTAGACAAGCAGCAAGCATTGTTTGGTTTGGCAGGAAGGGAGGAAATGACGAGCAGCAGGACATTGTACCCTCTGCTGCTGTTGCTGCTGCTGCTGCTGCTGCTGCTGCTGCTGCTGCTGTTTGCTGTTGTCTGTCGAGTTGCTACGTATGGGTCGCATGCAGATCTGAATAAGTAAGGGATGAAAATAAATATATTAGAGCGCTCTAACTGTAATAACAATTTATGAAGAGGGTTTGCAGCTTTGGAATTTGAGGAGAGCCTGTTTGACCGCTGTATGGTCTGTTGCTGCTGCTGCTGCTGCTGCTGCTGTTGCTGCTGCTGCTGCTGCTGGTCTGTCTGCGCGCGCTTCCGTCTGTACATGGCAGTGGGGCGCCACCGCTGCAAATACTTTTTAGCTGGTTTTCTGTCTTTCTTTCTGTGTGTCTCGCATCCATAACACTGCAAAGAAGGCCCTTTGCTGGCCTGCAGTCATCGCACCGTAGCCGACGAGTGACCCTAACGCTCAAACCCTAAACCCTAAACCCTAAACCCCAAACCCTAAACCCTAGACCCGAAATCATCCCCTCTAAATCCATAACGGTATTCTTTTCGCAGGTGTTTTGTCTCCCCTGCTGCCTTCAAGCAGCCAGGCAGCAGACACCCCAGCTAGTGGAGTGTGTACCAGCAGCAGCAGCAGCAGCAGCAGCAGCAGCAGCAAGAGCATCAGGATTTGAATTGGCTTTGACCTGGCCTTGGCGCAGCAGCAGCAGCAGCAGCAGTAGCTGCTGCTGTGGGGTCTCATTTTTTGTGCGAGTTGCTGCTGGCTTGTCGCTGCCCTCGCCTCCATACCCTCTCTCTTCTTCCTCTGAGAGTCAGCAGGTATCAGGGTTTAGGGTTTAGGGTTTAGGGTTTGGAAGCCATGGAGACCTCCCCCCCCCTCTTAAGCCGCCCTCTCAGCTGCTCTCTAAGCCATCGCTCCGACTGCTCAGATGCAGCAACAGCCCCTTCAGATTCAAGAGACGAATGTAGGGCAAGCAATGCTGCTGTTGCTGGTGTTGCTGCTGTTGCTGCTGTTGCTGCTGTTGCTGCAGCAAGGAGAAACTACAGTTGCTGTTGCTGCGAGAGACCCGAATGCACGCTTCATTCCTGTGTCTCCACCGCAACACTACTGCTGCTGCTGTTGCTGCTGCTGCTGCTGCTGCTGTTGCTGCTGTTGCTGCTGCTGTTGCTGCTGCTGTTGCTGCTACTGCTGCTGTTTCTGGCCCATTTTCCCAGAGGATGTTCACCTGACACCCGCTGCAGTTGCTGCTGCAGCTATTGGTGCTGCTGCAGCACGCGCAGTAACAGGTGCAGCGGGTGGGAGCAGCAGCCCCTGCCTCAAAGTCCGCAGCTGCTGCTGGTGTGCCGCTGTGAGCTTCTGTTAAGCATTATTTTGCTGCTGCTGCTTTTATGTGTATGCGTGTGTGTGTGTGTGTCTATGCTGCGGCTCTGCAGCAGCAGCAGCAGCAGGAGGATTCGCAGCAGTGGATGCTGCCCGTCCTTCCGGCTGCGGCGGCGTGCTAGTGGGCAATTCAAGTTGCATACAAGACAGCAGCAAAGGGTGCGACAGCAGCAGCAGGAGCAGCAGGAGCAGCAGAAGCAGCAGGAGCAGCAGCAGCAGCAGCAGCAGCAGCAGCAGCAGCTGCAGCAGCGGGGTGGGTGGGTGTGGGGGCAGCACATGCGTAGTAGGTGTACATGATCCTGTCTCCTCTGAGAAGCCCCCGATATGTATTGCTAAGGCAGCAAGCCAAGATGGATGTATTATAGGCCCCTCTATGCCTCGTCAGCGAGCGCTTGCTTCAGGTTATATCCCTTACAATCCTTACGGTCTATCGCGTTGTTCAAGACAGCTGCTGGAGCTTACAGAGCTACCCTTCATGATTCTTTGGGTGTACTTTGCTTACTTTCTTGTTATTGTTTCACTTACTGCTCATAAAGTTAGAAGCCGCGTCTGGTTAAGCGCTCTTGTTGCTGGGGCACTCGTAGGTATAGGCCTCAATGCAAATGCTTACAGAGCTATTATGTATAGAGGATATCCTGATGTGGGGTGCGTCTACTAACACTTAATATTAATATTTAATATTAATATTTCATATTATTAATGTACATCAATATATGCACATATATATAATATACATCTATATATATGTATATATATATATGTATATATATTTAGTATTAGTAGTAAACATTAATATATATTAATATTAAATATTATTCATTTACATTAATATTTAATATTGATAGCAAATATTAACGTTATAATATAACTAATAAGGAAGCATTTGTTATGTTTTAAGCTGATAACAAATGCTGTTCTTAGTATTTCTTTACTTTTATTATAGATTAACATCTATACAGATAATAATATTAATTATTTGATAGTCTTAATGCTAGTAATATTATTAATATTAATAAATAGAAACAATACATAATACTTGCTCTTCGTTTTATTATAGGTTTGTTTGTTTAGAATTATAAACCAACGGTATTAACTATAAAAAGAGTAAATAATATATAAAATATATATTACACAGGAAAAGCAATAAAATAATATTAACAGAAAGAATAATAAATAAATAATAATAGTAGCAGTAATTAGCATAATAGTAATAAAATAATAATAATTTGTTTTATTTTTTATTATAACGAAAATAATAAAATAATAAAAAGCATTATTATTCATAATAATATATATAGTTCTAATAGCCACATAATAATAATAATAATAATAATAATAATAATAATAGTAATAGCACTAATAAGAAGAAATAAAAAGCAGCAGTAACAGTCAGCATTAAACAAAGTAAATAATAAACATAATTAATAATAACAATAACAGCATTGAATACACAAATAAATAATTAAGATAGCATTAAAAAAACTAAAAGACGCATTATAATAATTATTTGTTTCAAGCAGTATTATCAATCCAGCCCAATAATTGCAGCAACTAATAATATTAAGAATTAAAATAATCTCTAATATCAATAATAATAATAATAATATAATAATAATAATAATAGTACTACTACTAATAATAATAATTAGTATTAATAATAAACACTAGACAAAAATAATAAACCCCAATTCACATTATTACCCCTACAGTACACCGCACAAACTCTGAAAGCAAAACGAAACAAAATAAAATAAAATAAAATAAAATAAAATCTAGCAAAGCAAAAAAAGAATGAAATTGACCTTCAATATACACCCAGCCTCAGCTTAGAATTATATATATATAATAATAATAATAAAGAAGTAGGGTGCACAACACGAGTAGAAAAAGCAAAATATAAATGCCTTTACTAAGCAGCACCAAACCCAGTCTCCTAATATATATATATATATATATGACACAAATAATAAACATATTTTCATAAACAAAGTAGGAACAACGAAATAGAACTTCAATAGACATCCAGCCTGAGCTTTAATGGCGAAGTAAACAGCAATGCACGAAGAGCTAAGCACACCCAAAGCTGCATTCGTAAACCCTAAACCCTAAACCCTAAACCCTAAACCCTAAACCCTAGTTGCTGGGCTGGGCTGAACCCCCAGCACTCGTCCTCCTTGCATGCAGAGGGCCTCGGAAGCGGTCCACCTCTGGCGCTTTTGCAGTTTAGGGTTTAGGGTTTATTAGGGTTTAGGGTTTGTGGTTTGTGTTGTTCAGGATAATTGTGCGATTCTTTCTTATTCCATTTGGGGTATCTGCACTGTCTGGGCTGACGCACTCGTTACGAGAAGACTTCTTGCTGGTGTTTCCTGTTGATCCCGTGGAGCTGCTTATAGCTTTAACTGCCCCCACTGTTGTTGTCTGCACTTTGCTGCTGAGTCGGCTGCTGCTGCTGCGCCGCCTCCAGGTTCCCATTACGCTGCGAAACTTTTTCCTCAACGGCTGCATATATTCTTGAGAACAAAACGTGATCCAAAAAACGGGATCCGATCCCAACCCCACAACCTGGGATCCGATCCCAAACCCACAACGTGGGATCCGATCCCAACCCCACAACCTGGGATCCGATCCCAACCCCACAACCTGAGATCCGATTCCATCACAGCAACCTAGGGCCTGATCCCAGCCCCACAAATCCAGCCGCATCACCCGCTGCATCTTTGCTTCTGCTGCAGTTCTGCTTCTGCTGCAGTTCTGCTTCTGCTGCAGTTCTGCTTCTGCTACAGCTCTGCTTCTGCTGCAGCTCTGCCTTTGCTGCAGCTCTCTGTTCCCTGCACGGCGGTCCTAGCAGGCACAGCCACTTGTGCATTGGCTGCAGCAGAGGGACCTTCAGGTGTACGGACAGCTCGCCGACAGAGGAACCGACAAGACAGGAGGACTCGTCGAGGAAGCTGCTGCTGCTGCAGGTGCTCAAGCTGCTGCTGCTGCTGGTGCTGGTGTGGGGCCCCAGAGACAAGGATGCATGCACAAGGAGGTGTGCATACACCTCAGGGAGCGTATAGTAGGGGAAGAACGGAAAGAAGCGGCGGCTCGGCTCGAGCTGTACAGACACCCGACACACATTACCTCATCTCGCAGCCCCTTCCTTTTTGCTGTCTCCTTTCTGCTTACTTTCCCAGCTGTCTCTCCACTTCTCTTTTGCTTCTTCCTCGGAGACAGCCGAGACTCTGAGATTCGCTTTAGGGCCCCCAGTAACAGCGGGGGCCTCTCCGTTTTCTTATATTGTTTAGGGTTTCTTCTTCAGCCCCTCAAGACCTTGGGGGCCCCCACAGCGGCGCCCACAGTCACTGAAGGGGCCCCCCTGGCGTTTGCGGCTGCAGCCGTCTCGGATGCAAACCAAATACACACAGATTGCTTGCTCAGAGCAAGCGGAGTTATTTAGAGGGGCCCCCCACTCTCAGACAAGGCAGAGGAAAGTTATAAAACGCTGGGATAGGGGGGCCCCAGCTGGCTTTGTTCGCTTAGGGGCCCCCTCGGGGGCCCCCTCCTCTCCTCTTGCCTTGCGTATCGTACCGTAGACTTAGCGGGAGTTGGCGCGCGCTGCAGGGGCCTCCAGTGGGGCTGCTCCTTGAGGCTGCTGCTGCTGCTGCTGCTGCTGCTGCTGCTGCACCTTGCTGCTGCTGCTGCTTGCCTTCGCGCCGAAGTGCAGGAGCAGCGGTGGCTCGTTTGCTGCTGAAGAGATATCAGGTCTTGCTGCAGGTTGCTGGGGGGGCCCTGGGGTGTGGGGCCCCACTGCCGCACATGTGCGCGCAAAGGGCAAACTTGGGGTGTATAGACTGCTCACAGCTTCCCGCTTTCGCTTATTGCAAAGGGTGCAGACCCTCTCAAGGTGTGCACATTGCATTGCTTGCTGATCCTGCTGCAGCTCCTGCTGCAGCTCCTGCTGCAGCTCCTGCTGCAGCTCCTGCTGCAGCTCCTGCTGCAACTCCTACTGCAGCTTCTGTTGAAACTCCTGCCGCAGCACCTGCTGCTGCAGCTCCTGCTGCAGCTTCTGCTGCAGCACGAGGTGTCTGTACACTTCAGGCTCCCCAGGGCCCACCATCTCCTGGTAGAGATAGACAAATCTGTAGAGAGGAGACACAAGAAAGAAGGCGAGCACCAGGGGCCCCCAAACATAGAGCAAACAAGAACAAGGAAGCTGCTTAGGGGCCCCCCTGGGGGCATTGGGGGCCCCTCTCGGTCCCCCTGGGAGCTTTGAGGGCCCCTACGGGGGCCCCTAAGGGTTCGACTGAGATCTTAAAGTGAAGGTGCCTGTACACCGCAGAACGTCGAGCAACTTCAGGTGCCAACGATATTTATAGGGAAAAAAGACAGACGAAGTGATGGTTAAGGAGACAGCAGCAGCAGCAAAAGCAGCAACATAAACCCTGATGTTGTTATAGGGGGGCCCCTCAGCAGTAACAGCAGCTGCACTTAGAAGAAGAAAGAATAAGCAGTAGCTCTCTCACCATATCGTGATCTAGGGTTTAGGGTTTAGGGTTTGGGGTTTAGGGCCTTGAGCACCGAATGCGTATAGTGGCGGGGTCCACTTGGTTGAGGGTTTAGGGTTTAGGGTTTAGGGTTTAGGGTTTAGCTGGGACGCCGGGCAGCTGGCGAGGCGCAGCGGGGGAGGAGACAGCAACAGCAGTAGTTGTCTCTATTTTCTGCGTTGCTTGGTAGGAAGAAACCATAAACCCTAAACCCTAAACCCTAAACGCTACACCACAGCAAAAAGGGGGCCTACATAATATATCAGTGCTGTTGCTGTTGCTGTTGCTGTTGCTGCTGCTGTTGCTGATACAGAACCTGGAGTTGTTTGTGCACATACATATTCATTCATATGCATATATACATATATATATATATATATACATTTATATACATACATATATATGTGTATATGTACAGATATGAATATACATATGTATAGGTAAAAGATTAAGGAGGCAAGAGGAGTAGACAGTGTGTGCCTTGGGGCCTAAAGAGAGTACAGGAAGATTAATTAAATTAAAATAAAATATAAACATAAGCAATTTATTATTAGAGAAAATGCTGCTTAGAATATCTGCTGGAGCTGCGCATACACCGCAGTGCTGCCTTCCTCTTAATGCAGAGAACTACGGTAGAGATATTGTATAAGAAGACAGCCTTTAAATGTTTTTAACCCTTAATAAACAACATTAATGTTTGCTGCAATTCATTAAATAAACTACGAGGATTATTAGGAACCCTTGTGTGGCTGCTGCTGCTGATGCTGCTGGGCAGCAGCAGCAGCCGCCGCCGCCGCCGCAGCAGCAGCAGCCGCAGCAACAGCAGCAGCAGACTGAGTGTCTGCTTCTGTAGCTAAGTTTCCTTAAAAAGCTTTTGATAGATATCACGACAGTGCCTGGAGCGACGGGGGAAGTACATTAAAAGGCCTCAGCAGCAGCAGCAGCAGCAACAGTAGCAGCAGCAGCAGCAGGAGCTTGTGCATACACCAGACTTGAGTGCAGCGCTCCACCTCTTTGCTGCCCTGGGGGGCCCTTTCTCTGCTCTTAGGTACGCACAACAAACCCTAGCTTCTGCTGCATGCGCTGCAGCAGCAAGAGGGGAGACGCACAGCACCGCTGCAGCAGCTGCTGCAGGGGGCCCCCATGCTGCAGGGGCCCCAACGGGAGCAGCAGCAGCTGCTGCTGGAACAGCAGTAACTGCTGCTTGTACAGTCCTTGATGAGGGTCTTCACCTCTGAGCTGACTGCTGTTGCTGCTGCTGCTACTACTTGCTTCTGTTGCTGCTGCGAAGGCTTGGGGTGGCGCTGCTGCCGTGGGGGCCCCAAGGCAGCAGCAGCACCTGCTGCTGCAGCTGCTGCAGCTGCAGCAAGCATGGCTGCCTTGTGTCTTTGCAGATGAGGGTCCCGTTGCAGTATCAGCAGCAACTGCAGCAGTTTCACCTGGGCCAGGGCTCGTGTTGGTGTGCACCATTCTGCTGCTGCTGTTGTTGCTGCTGCTGCTGCTGCTGCTGCAGGTTAGGGATTAGAAGGGGTTATAGACGATGGCTAACGACAGCAGCAAAGGCAGCAAAGGTGGCGGAGGAGACAAAGCAGATACCCCTGCCCCAGCCCCTCCTCCCCTTGATGCTGCAGACATCGACATTCTCAAGTCCTACGTAACCTAAACCCTAAACCCTAGACCCTAAACTCTACAGCGCAGTGCGAGTCAGACGATGCGGGCATCGTCAGACTCACCCATGTTTCTCTACAGCGGCAGCAGTAGTAGCAGCAGCAGCACCATCAGCATCACTAGCAGCAGCAGCAGCAACAGCATGCGAGCATGCTTTGGATGTGTCACATATTCCGCCGCTGCACATATAATGTGTTTCTTATCTTCCCTGTTTCTGCTGCTGCTGTTGCTGCTGCTGCCGCTGCTGCTGCTGCTGGTGTTTGTGCATGCAGGGTTTGAGCCCTTACGCAGGCAGTACAAAGAAGTTGGAGGCGGATATAAAGCAGCAGCTGCAGCGAATATCTACTTTATGCGGTGTACGTGAGAGCGACACAGGCTTATCTCTTCCTTCTCAGTGGGATCTTGCTGCAGATAAAAGATTAATGCAAGAGCAGCCGCTGCAGGTAGCTCGCTGTACAAAGATAATACCTCCAACGGGGGCTTCAGGAGGTGCGGGGGGCCCCCAGGGGGGCCCCCAAGGGGGCCCCAGAGGCAGCATGACAGGGGATATTGATGAAGAAACCAAATATATCATCAATGTTAAACAAATAGCTAAATTTGTTGTCGGATTAGGAGAGAAAGTTGCCGCTATGGATATCGAAGAAGGCATGCGAGTTGGGTACGGATTAGGGTTTAGGGTTAAGGGTTTAGGGTTTAGGATTTAGGGTATGGAAGTTGGGGCTACGAGGGGTTTAGGCTCTAGGCTCTAGGCTCTAGGCTCTAGGACTTTCCTAGGGTTTAGGGTTTAGGGTTTAGGGTTTAGAGGTAGGGTTTTTGCGGCTCCAGGCTTAGGGTTAGGGTTGAGGTGCTCCCAAGAAGGGGAGGTGCAGCTGACGAGGTTTTAGGGTTTAGGGTTTTCAGGGTGTAGGGTTTAGAAGAGGGATGGTCTAGGGCTTAGAATTTTTAGGGTTTACGGTTTAGCGTTAAGGGTTTAGGGTTTAGGGTTTAGGGTTTAGGGTTTAGGGTTTAGGGTTTGGGGTTTGTAGGGTGGACCGCAACAAATACAAAATTCAAATTCCGCTGCCCCCTAAGATCGACCCCACAGTTATGATGATGACGGTGGAAGAGGTGAGGCCCCCAAACCCTAAACCCTAAACCCTAAACCCTAAACCCTTTTCTTACTAAGCCCTCTATGCTAAACCCTAAGCCAGTTTATTATTATATTATTCCCTCTGCGCTAAACCCTAAACCCTTTCTTTGTGAAGGCTTCAGAGCGCATGCAGCTTGCTCTGTGTTTGAAGTAGCTTTAGGGTTTATAGGATAATAAGGGTTTAGGGTTTAGGGTTTAGGGTTTTATAGGGGTATATTATATTAATAATGCCTTACTGTTTTTCATATATATTTAATCTGTTTGTGCTGCCACATGTTTTTATTAAATCTACCCTATACTCTTATTTAGACATAATTTGTTTGATGCATTATGTTTAATATTTATTTTTATTATATTATATTAATATAATATAATATTAATATTAATATTATAGAATATAATGTGTTTATTTTGTTATGACATCAGAAGCCGGATGTAACATACAACGATGTAGGGGGAGCGAAGGAGCAGCTTGAACAATTACGTGAAGTGTTAGAGATGCCTCTTTTGCATCCTGAACGCTTTCTCTCGCTCGGGATCGATCCCCCCAAAGGTGTTTTATTATATGGGCCCCCAGGCACAGGCAAAACCCTCACTGCTAGGGCTGTTGCTAATAGAACTGATGCATGCTTCATTTGCGTTATCGGCTCCGAGCTCGTACAAAAGTAAATCTGCCGCTGCTTATGATGCTGCTTATGCTGTTGCTGCTGCTGATGTTGCTGCTGTTGCTGCTGATGTTGCTGCTGCTGATGTTGCTGCTGCTGATGTTGCTGCTGATGCTGCTGCTGATGTTGTTGGTGCTGCTGCTGCTGATGCATTCAACTTAGTGTCTCTGTGTCTATTATTATTATTATTATTACTACTACTACTACTATTATTGATTATTGCTATTATTTTCATCGTTATTTATTTATTATTTATTATTTATTATTTATTATTTATTATTCATTACTTATTATTTATTTGGTGTGATGGCTTTGAAGGGTAATTCTTGAGTATTTCGAGCTGCTGCTGCATGCGATTGTTTTCTCACTTTTACTTTTTAATAAACAAAACTTATTAATATAAAATAATATATTTATATATTTTATTATAGAGTGTCTATATTCTTTTATTTGCTTAATGCTTTTCTTCTTGTCTTTTCTTGTTCACCATCACAAAGAAGGTCTCTCATTTTATTTATTTTATTTTAGTTTTAGTTTTATTTTGTTTGTTTATTTAATCTCTCTCTCTCTTATTTATTTGAATAAAGAGGGTTAATTCTTTTTAATGTTTTATATCCTTTTTCCTATATTTTGTTTTTTGTTTAATTTTAATTAATTACTTTTTTTGCTGATTCTTTTTAATTAATTATTCTCTTTGCTCATTCTGTTTAATTAATTATTAATTTGCTTTGTTTTGTTTCTTTTTAATCAATTTATCTTTGCTTTATTTATTTTTAGTCAATATCCCCTTTGTTTTATTTCTTTTTAATCAATTACTATTCTCTTCTCATCCTTTAAAATGAGCATATTTATTTTTAAAGTTTTATTTGTAATAAATGATAATATTAATTGCTTTCATCTACCTAACAACAATAAATTTTTCTGTCGTTTGTCTAATATAATGAAGTGCAACATAATAAAACAGAATACAATACAATACAATACAATAATAATAATAATAATATTACTATTATTATTATTATTATATCTTCAGGTACGTAGGAGAAGGTGCTCGAATGGTTAGAGAGTTATTTGAGATGGCGCGTTCTCGAAGAGCATGCATTTTATTTATTGATGAGATCGATGCGATAGGAGGAAGCCGAGGAGGAGACGCAGATGGAGGGCACGGCGACCATGAAGTTCAACGCACAATGCTCGGTAATCTGCTATTTTCTTCGTCTTCTTTCTGTGCATTCTTTCTGCTATCAGCATCTTACTACTATTCGTATTACTATCTGTAGTGTTTGTTTTTATTTGTATTGTTATTTGTTTGTATTTGTATTATTTCTATTAAGATTATTAGGTAGTCTTAGTATTAGTATTGATTCTTATTATTATATTCATTATATTATTATTATTATTTATATCATTATTAGTAGTCGTATTGTTATTATTTATTATTCTTATTTTCAGTACTAGAATTATTATTTATTATTATTTGTATTACTTTTATTATTATTATTTATTAATATTATTTATTATTATTATTAAGAGCACTTCTCTCTTTTTTTTGTTTTTTTATCTTTCTCAATCTCTTATAATCGTATTCAAATATATACTAATCAATGATGCTTCTTCTCGTTTTTATTTATTAATTTTTATTTATATTTATTTATTTGTTTCAAGCAGTGTTTCTGTTTGAGGGTTTTATTTGGTTATACATAAACATGCGGCAATCGTATGTAATAGGGTGTATAAGCTATAATATCGACTATCGAGTGTTGACTAATAGACAGACAGACTTATACAATAGTTTGCGTTGCTGTGTGCATGCTGAATACCTCTTTTATCAGAAATAGTCAACCAATTAGACGGCTTCGAAGCAAGAGGAAATGTTAAAGTTCTCATGGCGACAAACCGCCCTGATACCTTAGACCCTGCGCTTCTTCGCCCCGGGAGATTAGACAGAAAAATCGAATTCGGATTGCCCGATCTAGAAGTCAGTTTGTGCTGCTGCTGCTGCTGATGCTGCTGCTGCTGCTGCTGAGGTTGCTGCTGCTGCTGCTGCTGCTGAGGTTGCTGATGCTGCTGCTGACTTCGCTGCTGCTGCTGCTGCTGAGGTTGCTGCTGCTGATGCTGCTGCTGAGATTGCTGCGGATGCTGCTGCTGATGCTGCTGCTGCTGGGATTGCTGGAGCTGCTGGGATTGCTGCTGCTGCTGAGATTGCTGCTGCTGCTGCGGTTGCTGCTGCTGCGGTTGCTGCTGCTGCTGCTGCGATTGTTGCTGTTGCTGCTACGAATGTGAATGCGAATGCTAATGGTGGTGGTGTTGCTGCTGCTGGATCTTGTGTTTATGCTGCTGTTGCTGCTAATGCTGCTGCTGCTGCTGCTGTTGTTGATGCTGTGTCATCTGTTTGCTGCATGTATTTTAATCTCTGCGATATATTTTAAATTCTTTTTTTGTATGTAAAATTTTATTTTTTCATGTTAAAGCATTTGCCTCACGAATTATATACATATATATAATATAATGTATATACATATATATATAATATAATGTATATGTACAATATATATATTATCTATATATTATATAGATATAATACATATAATATATACATAATATACTTATATATATATATATATATATAT